CCCCGCAGGATTTTGGGGTCCCCCCGGAGGATTTGGGGTCTCACCAGCAGCCCGCGGAACGCTTTCCTCTCGGTCACCCGGTACAGGCCCTCGCTCGCCGTCACCTTGATGTGCTTCACCTGCCCGCGGAACCTGCGCGGAGTCACCCCCGGCTCCTCCTCCTCCCTCTCCTTCCTCCCTCCTTCCTCCTCTCCCTCCTCTCCCTCCTTCCCTCCCTCCTTCCTTCCCTCCCTCCTCCTCCTTCCCTCCCTCCTTCCTCCCTCCCTCCCTCCTTCCTCCTCCTCTTCCCTCTTCCTCCTCCCCTCCCTCTCTCCCTCACCCCTTCTCACTCTTTCTGTCCCTCTCCCTCCCTTCCCCCTCCCATTCATCCCTCCCTCCTTCCTTCTCTCCCTCCCGCTCCCTTCTTCCCCTCTCCTTCTCCCTCCATCTCTCCCTCCCTCTCTCTCAATCTCTCTCCTCCTCCCTTCTCCCCCATCCCTTCCTCTCCCTCCCTCCTTCCTCCTCCTCTTCCCTCTTCCTCCTTCCCTCTCTCCTCCCTCCCTCCGCCCTTCATCCTCCTCTTCCCTCTCCCCTCCTCCTCCCCTCCCTCTCTCCCTCCCTCCTTCTCACTCTTTCTCTCCCTCCCTCCTTCTCACTCTTTCTCTCCCTCTCTCCTTCGCTCCCTCCTTCCCCCTTCCCTTCCTCCCTCTCCCTCTCTCCCTCCCTCTCCTCCTCCTCTTCCTCCCTCCCTCTCCCCATCCATCTCCCCCTCCCTCCCTCTCTCTCTCCCTCCTTCTCCCTCCTCCCCTCTCCTTTTCTCCCTTCCCTCCCTCTTTCCCTCTCCCTCTTTCTCCCCCTCCCTCCTTCCCTCCATCCCTCCCTCTCTCCTTCTTCCTCTCCATCTCTCCGTGTCTCCCTCCCTCTCCTTCTCTCCCTCCTTCCTCTCTCCCTCCGTCCTTCCTCCTCCTCTTCCCTCTTCCTCCTCCCCTCCCTCTCTCCCTCACCCCTTCTCACTCTTTCTCTCCCTCCCTTCCCCCTTCCCTTCCTCCCTCTCCCTCTCTCCCTCCCTCTCCTCCTCCTCTTCCTCCCTCCCTCTCCCCATCCCTCCCTCTCCTTCCCTCCCTCTCCCTCTCCCTCTCTGTCTCCCTCCTTCCTCCCTCCCTCCCTCCCTCTTCCCCTCCCTCCTCCTCCTCCTCCTCCTCCTGTCCCCTCCCCACTTTCCTCTCCCTCCCTCCCTCCTTCCCCACAAGTTTCCCCCTGACCCCAAAAGTCTCCCCCAAAGCCTCCCCCCACCCCAAAGCTGTCCCCAAAAGTGTCCCCGCAGTGTCCCCAAAACTATCCCCAAAAGTGTCCCCAAAAGTGTCCCGGACACTCCAAAACTGTCCCCAAAAGTGTCCCCTCCCTGTCCCTCCCTGTCCCCTCGGTGTCCCCTCCCTGTCCCCTCCCTGTCCCCTCGGTGTCCCCAATGTCCCTGCAGTGTCCCCATCTGTCCCCAGCTGTCCCCAGATGTCCCCAGATGTCCCCAGGTGTCCCCTCAGTGTCCCCAGAGATGTCCCCAGGTGTCCCTCTATTGTCCCTGCGCTGTCCCCATCTGTCCCCAACTGTCCCAAAAGTGTCCCCGCGACCCCAAAACTGTCCCCCGGGTGTCCCCGCAGCGTCCCCAAAGGTGTCCCCAGCTGTCCCCACATGTCCCC